ATGTTAACAGAAATAACGGAGAAAATAAGAAAAGAGGTAAGAATGTCTAAAATTATTTGGTTCAATTGGATAATTACAATTTAATTAATAAATAACAGTTGAAACGATTGTCAAAACAAATGACAAAAGTTATAATAATAAAATGAGAATGTTGTCAACAAAAAGGAGAAATAAATTATAAAGTATCTTATTTTTAAAATCAAACTGTAATCTTATTGAAATGGTCGAGGTCAAAGTATATAATAGCAAAAACAATAACGAGCTGGTGTTTTCGATAAGAAGACCTGTTACGACCAAGGTCTTTCTTTGTGCAACCTATTAGTCGAGGAATAGTGTAGATCGATACTAGAATATGGTCACTGGATCAAGCTATTTCTTCTATAGCAGCAATCATAACATTCTTCCAAACGTTCTTGCAGCATATAACACACCCCAGTAAGCATTTTTGTGGACTGACCTAAACATTTTTCTCGCGTAAATGTTATATGATTTCATGCATGCGAGGTATTTTTAGAGAATTCCACACAACGTAACGACGCCATATTAAAAAATTTCTGTTCGAGTTATATGGATACTTTTTAAAGATGGTTTCAGGAAGCATTAAAATGCCTCGATCTCTACATTTAGATTTCAGAAATTTATAAGATATATGTAAATTAATAATCATGTATAAGTGTTTGTTGAAACTTATATGAAATTATATCGAAATTATATTTTGCAAATAATTAGGAACGAAAGAAAGAAAACCAAGAAAATTTTGAATTTCGAGAATTCGAAGCTTTACACCTTTTTTTTTGTAATTCGACATTTTCAAAAGTGAGGTAAGAGAAAACATAAAATCATGAAATAATGTAAAAATATTTAATATTGCCATTGTCAATTATTTTCTGAAAAACTTTTCGGTATGTCCGACACTATAATCGATAAAAAAGAAAGTCAATTAGGACCACAAGTAGTTCAGAAGATTATCAGAGTCAACTATGATATGCAAAAATTTAGTTTAGTCCTTATTTTTTGAAACAAAATATTCCTGTTACAAAACAAAATCAGCATTTTAATACTAGAACTATGAAAAAGATCAAAATGACTTGTTTCAGACTTTCTATTTTGTAGTTTCTTTAGCTGCTGATGTTAATTTTTATTCAAATAGGCTCGAAATTATGTATGCTGTTTTAATTTTACTGTATCATTATAATTAAAATCCATAATGTACATTATACCAAAATAATAATTTTTTACTAGAATAATTATATACTTTATTTATAAGATATTATTTATTGATAAATAATATTTTTAATTATTTATATTATGTAAGCACATATAAGTTGGTAATTATAGTGTTAAGTTTTGAAAATTTTAATATTCGGAAATTTCGAGGATTTCGAGATCCTGTAAAGCTTCGAATTGTCGTCTCGAGGATCTGAAATTCGGCTCGAACCTACCACTAATGCTTTTTATTCGTATCCCATGGGTGATATTTCATCTGAAATGCCTGTGACACGAATATAATGATTCGATTTGATCTTGAGGAGAGGATAAAGCGGCACGTTCCGATAAGATGCTTAATTTCTCATCTAGTGGATGCATTCTTCAGCACCAGACTAACGAGTTCTGCTAGCGCACGCTTAATACCATGGGGGAAAAAATGCTCTTAAATCGAAGGGATCGTGTCTGTTCTAGACAGGTATTTAGAGTAAGAAATGAATGTGATGGGGAATTAATGCGAAAAATTGAGGGGAAATCAATTTAATAATTTTGTTGAAGATATCGGATGAAAATGAGAAGAAAAATGAGAAACGTATTTCCTTTGCTTTAGTTAATTTGGTATTAATTAAATGGAAATCCAAGCTGAATCTTTTATACCTTTCTTTAATTTAAGATTCCGTGCAGAATTAATAAGGAAACATCGATCTTCGAGACATTTCTGTTAAATTCATAATTGAATGAAAGATTAATATTACAATTTATTACATTCTATAGTCTCTGTTAGTTTTTAAATTACATTAAGAATATTATTCCTTAAATTATGTAATTATGCAAATGAAAATAATACAGGCAAAATTATAATACAAAATTAAATATTCAATCTATGCTGTATTTTATATTGTAATCAAAATTATAGAATAAAATATGCAATAATATAAATGTAGGATGGACTAGGTATAGTGACCACCTCAATTACTTTTGTTACTAATAAATCAAACCAAATGATCAATTCTAGATGATTTCATAACCGTATAATTTCTTTAGCTAATAAATATTTCTTTATTAAAATTGCTCAATTTTTATAAATTCTTGTTAACAAATGTGCAAAACAAAATTACAGGGTTGTGCAAATAAAAATTGGAGATCATGTGAAAATTATTTGAAAATGATAGTTACAAAACTATCTAATGTTAGTATATTAGAATAATAATAATAATAATATGAATAATAATATAATAACATTATATTATTCACGAACTTGAAATAATATAAGTGGTATTATATAATTCACCTTGCATATACTTACTCAAAAATGAACAAACAAGATGGTGATTTGAAAAATTAATTTTCTTTATTAATATATGCGATGCTATCTAAGGATTCAATTTTTAATCCTTAATATTTAATATTTCAGTATTATTATATAAGAAAATAATACATGTATATGGGGATCTAGGTAATTAACATAAAAGGAGAAAAGATGTTATTTAATTATAATATATGAGCCGTTCACTGCACAAATTGATTAACTCCATAAAACAAAAAGTGGAGAAATGCAATGAAATAATGTATTTTGTTTTTTAAAATTCCCTTTATAATTTAAATCGAAATAAATATTGTAGAATGCATAAATACAAATGTAACTTTCATCTAACGGTATATAAAGTTTATAAGCAAAAATAGCCAAAAGGTAATCGTTAGTAATGTTACCATTTTTACATTACTGGAAGAGTTAATCGATTTAGCGAGTGGGAAAAGTGATAAATTTAAATTTTACTAAATTTTACTTAAATTCTGATAAGACGGCACTAAAAAGTTCACCGTTATCATTCATGGCTTGCTAGTGCATTTGAGTTGCATTATTGCAACGATTTACATTAGAGTACGGAGTTAATCACAGTGACCTCTGAAATAAATTATTTATTATTCAGTGGGTAAAAAATTTTTGTCGTTTAATGGTGTTAATCTTAATTATCAGGGAAAGTTATTATAAATATAAAAAGTTATAACTATACCAAGTGCTTTGACACTTAAATATAAGATTTTTCAAAAAGTAGAGTTAATTGATTTGTATAGTGAACGGCTCATGTATTACTAACTAAATGAGACTAAGAGTAATGTGCAATTCAAAAGTTTGAAACTAATAACTGATCTATGATTACGCGACTGATTGACACTCTCTCGTTCTTTCCGATTCTTGATCCAATCTGCCCCTTCATCGTTGTTCATTCGCTTTTTATTCACTCACACACACGCTAGATATTTATACGACACATCCCCATAGCGCATCACACACACTCTAAGAATTCATTCGTCTTTCACACTCGATTCTAACCCAAAATCCACTCTCACGGCTTGTTCTTCGTACCGACAGTTGTTTTATCTCGCCGATACCCTTCCATGTGTTTCCGCTTCTACATGTATAATAAAAATAGAAAGATATCTAACAAAATTTACATACAGGATGAAATATTATATTTAAATGAGAACAATTAATAATAGAATGACCTGTTTCAAAGGTTATTTTTCAATAATCATCTGTATATGTTTTTAATATACAGTAACCCAATGTATACATAATAAATATTCTACAATAATAAATTTATGATAAATATGATACCGTAACAAATACAATAAATAATTTACGCATAGCAAAGCAAATAAGATATTTTTAATTTGCATCGTCTAATAAGTAAATATCATACTGTGACTTTTGTGACTACCTTTTGATCTTTAAATACTGCCAGAAAATCAATAATTGAAGCAGTATTAGTTAATTCTAATTAAATCATATTTTAAGAATGAGCAAACCAACGGAGAAAGATATTCCTCGTTTAATCCCTATTTCGCGATGTGCGTTTCGCCGAAACTGCAGCGTTGTTGCAGGCACCAGATGGTCTCACGTCAACTCATTTATTAAAAGCACGCGGTGAATATCGGTTCGATTCGCCTTTCTTTTATCGAAGCAATCGTGTGGATTTTCGATGATTATTTTACACCATCCTATTTGTTTCGATATTGTCTTTTACTCTATCCATTATGTACAAGCGTTGTTAGTTGTCATTGCATATTAGCGATAAGTTACCTGCGACTCGTTCGCATAAATCGAGTTAACCGATCGAGTTACTGGAAGGAAGCGTGATAGAATGGTCTACATATCTCAGAGTAGTGTACTAATTTGGAAATAATATTACTTTTCAAATTATTTCCTTCTTTCGTTTTTACTATGAGTAAAAATTTGTGAAATCAAGCATAAAAATTTTATTCTATTCTGAAATTTATAGATATTACTAGGAATCAATAATTATAGATAATTATCATTAGTTATGGAAAAATTATTATATAGGTGACAATAATAATCGAGCAATAATTATTACATAATTAATAACAATAGTTAAATAATAATAAATGCACAATAAATAATAACTTCGTAATGGTTATTACATAGTTAATAATAATAATAATAATAATAATTGAATAATTATCATTATATTAAGTAACCAATAGTAATACCTTGATAGCAATAATGGATGTAATAAATATTGTAATATATAATTACTATTAATCATATAATAATAATTATATTGATTAATTATACTTATTAGCATGTTAAAAATGATCACTTATATAATAATAATTCGTAATTTGATACGCAGATATTCATGCAATATATTTGATAGTTTGTTTGAAAATTGATGGATAAATACGAAATGGAAAATAGTAATTGAAGAAAAGTAATACACGTAGAAATTATTATACTGTTTATATTTAAACATAGTGATGAATATACTTACGGTACAGTTTAATACTGCCGTCTGTTTCCCCTAAAGCATTCTTTGATATGCATTTGTACGTTCCGTAATCAGACATTTCCACCGATAATATCGTGAGTTTCATATGCACTTTGTATTCATTATTCGTGAACGATTGGTTATACTTCTCTCCTGAAAGCAAAATATTAAATAACGTCATCAAAAGGGATAGAATAAGGCGGACGTCCTTCGATTAATTCTCTTACATTAGGAACATATTGCAATAACAATTTCATAATAATATACATGCAATGAACGAGAAACGAAAACACTAAATTTATGATAAATTTTATGCCACATATTAACGGACGCGTGTTTCATCAATTTCGTAGATATTTTATTATGATCTGTGAAATTACAATTCATATGAAACGCTGAAAGAGTTATTTCCATTATGCGACGTGGAACCCATTGAACACAACATTGAATTGAATTATGAATAATTCCGTGAAACAAGATGATATTCTGAATTATAGTGACAATCTTTATGTTTATTGATTAAATTTCTTCTTTTCTGCGAAAATTGATTTTATTTTGAGATATATTGTTAGATTTTAGTCAGGCGAACTCGAAGATAGAACGCTAATGAATATGAAATTGATATCTGATATTATTAAATTATATCATGCGCGTTTTATTTTTAGTTCCATGTATATTACGAATTTTATTTTCAACTGTAACGTTATATTTTATTCCGTCCTTTAATTCAGGTTTCAATGTTACTTAATAATGTATGATATTAATAAACTCTACAAGCAGAAGTTCGTGTTATTCTTAAAATATTATGATTTCATAAATAATGTTATATTTTTAATGACTGAGTATCAATGAATTGGATTAAATATTATAATGATTTTCAGCTAAATTTAACTAAAATATTGAAGAAGTATTATTAGATTGTAAATATTTAATCCTGCATATAACTTGCATGTACAACTTGGTATGCAAATTCAATTGTTTAGAAACAATTTATTAGTAGTTTGTAATTAGGCACTTTGACACACTTATAAACATATTATTTTAATATTGATATAATTAAGATCAGTTAATTTGTTTACATATTAAAATTTGTATTTAAGTTACACTATTAACTTTCACTGCTCAAAATTATTTAAATTATACGCAAATATTGTATATTTAAAGTCAAATACAGTTAAATGTTATACGTTTATAACATTTCTTAATAAAATTTAATAAAACCATCGAAACTAAATAATATTTACAATTAAGGTTATACTAACTTAAAATAATCATTCATGGTATAAAATACGCAATATTTTGTGCTACACTTACAATTATATTCCATTGTATACAGTATAAAGAAAGTTTCGTCGTTAACCTTTAATAAATTAGTTGTCAAGACAGTAGCACAGAAAACGAGTACATTCATGTAAATGTATGTTTGTAATTAGTTTTGTTTTATGTACGGTTAACTGTAATACGACTTGCAAAAGTTAGTCTATAAAACTTATGTTTAAATATCATTTAAGTTTGTTGAAGTTGGGTCACTTTAATTATAGAAGATTGGATGTAAATAAAATATGCATATATAGCATTAACTTTATATATATATATTGTTTTATTATTAATTTTGTATATATCATGTTATTCCTAATATTTTATTACCTTATAATCTTGATATTATTAATTTTATACATATTATCTTCCCATTAATTTTCTTATTAATACTATGTTAGTAGTTTTTATTTTATTTATTTTTAATTTAATATTATTAACTTTATACATATCATATCATAATTATTATAAATTTATGTGTATTTTACGTACACATTATTAAATTATTACATATTATTAATATAATAAATCATTATATACTATAAATACTTAATATTATGTTTATTACTGCCTATTAGTAGTAGATATTTTGTAATGTAGAAAGAAAATTTTGAATGTGAATAATGTAAAATTATAATTCTAAAGGGAATAAAATTTTAAATAAAATCTATCAACTTAACACAGCTTTTCTTTCCTTTTAGGAAAACAGAACATTAAGTTGGTTCGTTTTTGATAGCTTTGTCTCACAGAATTTTTATAATTCTCTGAAAATGAAATACATATTTTATAACTATTAATTACAATTTTACATCAAAAATATCGTACTACTTTTCAGCAGTATACACGGACTTGGTTCACTATTCTTTAGCTTTTCCTTGCTTTGCCAGAGATAAAGTATTGTTATAGCTGACCCTGTTAGTAACAGCGTTCGATTTGGCTCTGACGATTTGTATCATAACGATGGTAATAATAATAACAATATTCTAGATGGTAAGTTTTTGCCCGTTCGAGGTACTGAAACATGATTTATAATTTTAATGCTGCATCTGAACGTTAGGAAGAATGAAGCTGAAGAAGTAAAATTTTCTGCTGAAACTGTAAACATCTTCCAGAGCACAGGAAATTGGAAATAGTTAATCAATACAATTACTGTAAAAAGTGTTTATGCAGCAGCTAATTCCGATGAAAAATAGTAGAATTTAATTTAATTAATAAGTCGAGAAAAAATAAAATTCTTATACATTTCCTAAAATTTTCTAAAATTTTCTAAATATTTAAATATTCGCAGAGACACTTGCGCAATATTATATATCATATCAATTATTTCATTAGTATTTGTTGTCTTTATTATTACATATTTACTTCTATATTTATTATTATGTAGAATTATTAATTTATAAGATAATTTCAAATATAATGTTCAAATAAAACGTTATAAGCTAGGGCTACTGTAATTTATATTGAAAAGTTTCAGAGATACTTAATGTTATAGAAATCATAGATATTTATTTCCAAATAAAAGTTAAAAATTAGATAATGAAATTAACATTATTCTCAAACGTTTGATTTTCCTATATTCTATTTTTATTTCTATAATTTAATAATTTCATAACTTTTAATATTTGTATTTGATCATACGAATATGAGAAAAGCCATACTATATTATTAATAAATCTGTTAAAAAATGTGTGTAATTAAATTGGAAGAAAGATTTGAAATATATAAATTATTAATCAAATGCTATTTAATTTTCATAGCTTCTATTGTTATTATTGATATTTGTGTACTCTTATTTAAACATACAAATATTAGTATTATAAAAATAATATTTCAGTCATAATTTGACATATTTGAAAATTGACTTGTTCAGATAACAGAATCTTCCTTTAAATAATAGATGTACTTGAGAGACGGACCCTATGGTATTTAAAGAGAGAAGGGACCAAATATTTATAGAAAATATTATATTTATGGCTACAGATGTGCTACATGCACATAGTTTTATGAAATTGAATGCTTACCTCGTTACATATATCATGTAACTTTTACCTCTGCCAACATTTTCCACCTTTAGTTATGTGACTCTCTCCTATCTTCAGCTTTTACTTTATTTTTTAACAACACTTTGTGTTACATGAACTCTAATAGATATTTTTGGACACTGTCCCAGTAAGAAAGTAGGGTAGCAGTTATTTAGGTATGATACCAAGATTAATCTGATAAGATAAAACAATTAAAAGAATAAAAATTAAAAATAATTAAAAAATTTTCGAAATAAAAAGGGCGTGTATTTACATTAAATATCGAACTATCAAATTAGTTAAGCTGATTCCAAATTTGTCGTTTTCATTTTTTGCAGAAAACATGCAAAACGGCTTTTGGCAAATTTGTATTAATTCTTATTCAGATAGAAACATAATTGTATATTCCTATTTACTTTCGTCGAAACACTTTGATTATTGTTATTTGTGCATAGTATATTTAACTATACATTACAAATCAATAAAATAAAAAATGTAAGTTTTAATTAAAAAATTCCAAGTTTACTTTTGTAGGTATTTCCAAGATTATCGGAATATTAAATAAATTACAGCATAATCTGTACCCCTAGAAATGATATAACTTTAGTTCAAAAAATTCCTTCATATCTTCCATATTTTTCAAATATACTTGAAAATATTTACCTTATTAAATTGAAATGGGACATACTGCATATTTAGGTACCCAATATAGATTAGTAATTCTAATGTTAAAAGCAAAAGTTTATTTTTATTGTATCATATGGTAGACTATTATCTGTATTCTTGACAAAATTATTGTTATACACAATGCATGGTTTACGAATAATTCATATTTATCTATTAAAATTTAGCACTCTCTACATAATGTATTTAAATGTATGTTTCAAAAAATATTATTTTTTTATATTATAGAAAATATTGCAGATAATTCTTGGTCAAAGTTATAAGATTAATAAAAAATACTTTGATAATCGATTATTGCAGCTGAATATAATATCAGAGCACTTTCATATGTGTTTACAAGTGTCATTCGATTCTGATTCGTTTAAATTCTATAGTCTACTTTATGCTTGATCGAGCACAAAAGCAGACATTAAGGTTTATCGTATGAGCGCATGTTCATCATGAAAATGAACCTTCATTGAATTGCTAAATTATTCCAACTCTTTATTCCTTTCACATACGTACTTCAATTAATTTAACTACATGAAATTATGTATTTCGCGTATAATGTTTGTAAATAATATTCAGTAAAAATAGTTCGAAAATAACAATTCAAATTAAAACGATAATTTATGACTCGAAAATAACACGGGATAGCATTGGCAAATAGGTCAGAATTATTTCTTTATTATGTTCCACTTTTACAACTCCATATTTTTCTTGCATCGAGATATTCTTTCGAGTTATGCGTGGGAAATATAAAATATTGGAAAAATTCGTTATCCTTTGATCTATATTAAGGGATTTTAAACCTTCTATTAAAAATACAAAAAAAAAAATGAAAGAATATAGAAGGCGAATTAAATCAGTCTTTATGCGATATCAAAAGAGTGATTCGTTTGGCATAACGATTTTTATTTTGAATTCACTATATTTTTCAATTATTGCGATTTTCGTTTTGATGATGCATATTCATGCGTTCGATACAAAATATACGACACCCGCAATGAGAAAACTTTGCACAATACTCTGCCAAAATTGGAATAAATAGAGTTTGCAGTAATATGAAAGCTGATCACGCTATGAACTCATTACTGCCTTGTAGGACGTTCAAATAAGACCAGAATAGAATATAACATCACAGGATTAATT